TTGTGGGCCGCCAGCAGCCATGGCGCCTCAGCGGCCTTCACTCTCACGGCCGCCTTAAACTCGTCTAAGCTCCGCATAACGCGGCCAAAAACGTTCCCTAAGCCTTAGTGATCCACCAGTGGCCATGGCAGCACAAGGAGAGGTGGGAAAAGAGCAGGAGGAGACATCTCCTGGTGGGAGAGACAGCCCTGGTGGGAGCCGGCGTAGTGACGCAGCGTAGGCCGCTCTTGGAGCTGCCGCAACCTGGTTTGGCCACGATTTTTATTCCCTGCCCTCGTATCAGGGCTCACACACCAGCAAGGCACCCACTCCTCCTGCTCCCATGCTTTGTACGACCCTCTCTCCCTCCCCTGCCCTGCAGCCAAGTGGTCAGAAAGAAATTGCCACTGAGCTCCAAAGTCAAATGTCCCCATCCACCAAAAACCAAAACCTGGAGCAAAACGTGGTTTTTAATCTAAATTTGGCTCAAGTTGACCCCTGCGCTCACAACCTGTGAGGAAGCAGCCAACAAGCAGATGTGACTGCTGGATAAGCCTCGTTTCTTTAGGAAGCTAAAAATGGAACCAGCCATCACCATCATCTATGTTTAGACCCAATATTCCAAACAATTCCTCCATTTGCAGCTCTTTTTTTTTTTTTTCCCCTCCTGAAGCTATCTCTGGCAGAAGAATTAAACAGCTGCCACTGAGAGCAGGAATTGAGTTAAAAGCTGAAGAAATGCAGCGCTGGTAGCAGAGGTGACGCACCAGCTGGATGCATTCCAGGTCACTGCAGCCTGGCAGGCTCTCCAAGAGGACATCCCAGTGGATCTCAGCAGCACAGTTGGATTTTTCCCCCACGTATGCAAAAGCCATAACTCCTATGGAGCCAATCATTTCACGCTGGAAGCCCTGCAATTCATTTTTGAAATGGCTTGCCAATCAGGTTATTATGTTCAAGCTAAGAGAGGAAAAAACCCTACAGAAAGACTTTTTCATGGGGAAAGCATTCCGCTTGGGATTTTACTTGTCTTCCTGTGCCAAATTGGCAGGAGAGCTGGATAATTACAGTGCTTTTACAAACAAAATTAATGTACAGCAAGTCTGTACATGGCCACCCTCCCATCCATGGATTTTACTGAGAACAGAGCAAAAGGATGCCGGTTTTATTTCACAGAGAAACCCCTCCCCCAAAACAGGAGTATTTTGAAGTAAAATCCCTGTGTACTGCCACAAACTGTAGTCCCCTCTTCCATTTTAAAAGGCAGACAAACTTCACAAAGCAGAGCCACAGAGAACAGGGACAGCATCCCTCAGATCTGTGTTCTCACACAGGAATCAGGATGCAGGATGCCCAGGAGTGGCATCAACACCTGAGATGTGGCCATAGAGACAGAAGAAGGGCTATTGTGGATGTTGTTAAGCACAAAACCTTGCTGTCTGACCAGGAGACCCTATTCTTCAGATTAAAATATAACCAAATGCATGTATCAAAAACTAATTTTCAAAAAAGCCATCTTATTATATATTTAAGATTTATTTCCCTTTATTACAGAAGCACATCAGTCCCACTAAGATCCACAAGCAGTTTCCAAGAATCCTCTGCTGCTGCCACAAATGTTCATTCTCTGGATCCTAATTTCTCTTTGTTTTCCCTGTCACATTCAATATATCTCTTATTCATGAATTATAGACTTGCCTGATTTCCCTAACATCACCCAGGAGTCTGCAGTAATTCAGGAACCCAGCAGACGCTGGGGAGGTCCAAGTCCTGGATGCTGAGAGTCCTTTAGGATGAGAACAGACTAAGGCACATCATTCCCCCCTGACTGAGCTGGCCACATTGCTTTCCTTTATTTTACCTCCAAAATTCCACTCCTAGCAATTCGCTCTCGAGGTGCTGAAGAGATGAAGATGACACACGTGTATGGTCCCAGATCTGCTGGCATAGGATCCATAGTTTACCTCAGAGTGCCAAACCATTTCACTCCACCAAAGCAGTGCTCCTGAGAGCTGAGCAGTGCAGGGAACACTCCTGAAGGACAGGGCCATCCAGAGGGACCTACACAAGCCTGAGAAGCAGGAGATGCAAGGGAATCATGAGGCTCAACAAGGCCAAGTGCTGCACTGCATAGGGGTATAAGAACAAACTGGGAAAAGTCATTGAGAACAGCCCTCAAGAAGGATTTGGGGGTGCTGGGAGATGAAAAGGTGGACAGGCTCTGGCCACATGCACTTCCAGTCCCCTAAATGTGGCCTTTGAGTGCCTGGGGGGGCCAATAAGAAGGAGAGAGACTATTTATAAGGGATGGAGGGATAGGACACAGGGAATGGCTTCCTACTGCCACAGGACAGGATTAGGATGGGATACTGGGAAAGGAATTGCTCCCTTTGAGGGTGGGAAGGCCCTGGCACAGGGTGCCCAGAGCAGCTGTGGCTGCCCTGGATCCCTGGAAGTGTCCAAGGCCAGGCTGGACAGGGCTTGGAGCAGCCTGGGACAGTGGAAGGTGTCCCTGCCCATGGCAGGGGGTGGCACTGGATGGGCTTTAAGGTCCCTCTCAAACCAAACCATTCTGGAATTCTATGACATGATTCAATGATTCCCTATTGCCCAGCAACAGGAGACACAACCCCATTTGCTCCAGAGTCCCAACCCAGATTTTTTTTTTTTTTTTTTGGAAACAGAACAAGATCTGCCATTTCAGCAGCACGCCCACAACACTGGGATCATTGAAGAATTTACTCAGTGACCTTTCAGCAGCAGATAAGCACACACACTCCTTAAACATTAACTCCTTCCAAACCCATATTCATTTTAGCATTTTTTGGACACTGATACAACTTTAATTTACAGCAACAAATGTCAAAAACATTCCACTGCTTTCTTCAGCTTGTGAGAAGCTCAGCACAGCAATTAAACCACATGTGTGGAGTTAAACACAAGCTCTAGAGCTGCTGCACTGGCAGCTTCTCTCCAACTCTTCATGGTCCTTTACCATTCTAAGAGGCTTTGTTTTTATTGTTTTGGGTGGTTTAAGTCATCCTATATATACTTCCCTGGCAGTTCTCTTGGGGAGGGGGGAAAGAAACATCTTTTTAAGAGGATTTTAAATTATTGTAATCTGAAGAGCATTTAAAAACATTTCTCACTATACAGTAAGAACAATCTGTTGTTGTTGGTACATTAATCCTGGCGAGCACTTGAAGGGCAGAAACACAATGGGGTGAAATTGTTACAGATGGCCTCAGGGTTATTCCAATACTTGAACAACTGGAATAATGGGGTGGAATTAAAAACATGGGCCCAAGCTTAGGAAACGCCTCACGATAAGATCACGTTGCCCAAAAACAGGAACATAAAACTCTTGAAGAGGAGACAGTTGTGGAAATTAAAAACGAGCCTTGTAGAAGCATAAGATGTATATTCTAGCCCAGATGGAAAAACCATCAATCCTCTTCCACTCAAAAAAAACCTATAACCAGTAGGAAAATTATCTTTCTTCCATTTGGACAAGTAAAATTTCACAAGGTTACTGTAGAGAACAACCCAGAACCAGCAAAATGGAAGAGAGGAGAGATAATCTAATAGGCCTCTTCTATCTAATTTTTATGATTCTTATGAAAAATGACCTGAATAAGTGAAGTTATTTGCCCTTGTCCTCTTTGTTCATATTGGATTTAGTCATAAGGGAAATCCTGCCAAGGATCGTGTGTTTTACTCAATTTACTACCCTTTGTGATTGCTCTATAAAATATTGGATACATGATAGGAAAGGTTATGGAGGTTTGGGGCAGGGGTTTTTGCAATGGAAAAAGAAGGAACAAATTGAGCACTTGCTGGCAGTAAAAATTAAGACAATAAGAACTGATGGAATTTTCTGAGGAGAATGTTTATCTATCAGTCCATGTTCAAAGGATTGTATTTAACCCGAATACGGTATAACTTAAAAAAAAACCCCTAGCAATTGAGTATTAAACAAACAGTCTCTTGCAACATTTCAGTTCCAAGTAGGTCACAAATAACACTGGAGTCAGAAGCTCCATCTCTCTGCTGCACAAACTCTGTAATTGCCAGAAGCTGAGGTTTCCTTTGAATTCCCAGTATTTATTATGCTGCTACTTTTGGACTCAGGCTGTTAATCATACAGTTACATTGCTCCTGCTATTACAGCAGAAGGCAAGAAAGCACAACCTGCTCTTCCAGGCTTTGCATTTATTGTAGCTAAGATTGAGCTGTGAGTCCCTTTTGCTGACTCCTGCCTGGAATCCACCCCCAGCCCCAACATATGTGCCCACAGAACCTGGGTCATGCACAGTGCAGCCCACGAGCCATAAATAACACGGAGAACTCTGGCAAAGCCCAGGTGCAGCCACTCACCAGCACCACCAACCCATTCTTGGGGACTGCAACACACTGAGGTTGTTTTTTTCCTCAAGTTATAAAGGCCAACCATAATGATGCAGGATCTGTTAAATCATGATTATGTATTCCCTGTGCACCTCACTGTGCAAGCTGTGTTGTAAGATTCCAGGGAGAAGTTGGGGCATTCCTCCCTTACCATTCAATCCTACCCCAAAACCAAGAGCCTGGGAATTCGCAGCTGCGCCAGATTGTAATAAGTGGTGTCAAAAATTCCAAGCAAATGAGTACCACATGTCTGGGAAGCAGGCCCTTTTCCTGGGCTGACCTTGGAGGCTGAAGGGCTGCCCCTCTCCTGACAAAAGGATTGTAGGAAGAAAAACATCCCGAGTGCCGCCGCATAACCACGCGGGTGAGATCCCGCAGCCCTCTGCCACATGGAGCACGAGGCAAGTGCTTGGGATGAGATCAGATCCCATTTCTCAGAAGCTTCCCTAAAAGCCAAATGACTCCCACAGAGTGGGTCTTGTTACCTCACAGACTTTGGTTTTTTATGAGGGATTCTATAAATCACTGCTGCTGTAGCGTCCCCCATGGATTTATTAAGGCTGTTCTTGGAACGGGTACTGGGACACAAAGGCAGAACAGAAGCCCTGACTCACCTTGTGGAGGGTGGGTTTTTTGCTGCCATTGGAAAGATGGACATGCTCCTCTCCAGCTGTGTCAGACATGAGCATCAGAAGGCCTGGAAATTATACATGTCACTCCTTAACCTCTTTCACAGCAAGGTCCTCCTGACCCTTTACTTGGGATTAAATTACACACATTTAAAAAAACTAATTGTCTACAACGCATTCCAATTACAAGACTAATTATACTTATCTAACTGTTGCCTGACCGACTTGGTCTGGAATCAAACCATGCTTTTTGCTTTATTACATATTAAATTGGGCTGGAAGGCTTTCTGGACTTCTGGAAGTTCAGAAATAGATAAAATAGAAGCATCTGAAGACAGAGCAGATAAAAGGCTGGGCCAACATAGAAGAGCTTTCCAAGTGCACATCAGAAGGGTCCATCAGGATTTAATAAATCTTGGACTCAATATCTTTACTTGAATATTAATTGTTTCCAAAAGACAAAAAAAGCCCAGCTCAGTCCCAAGCTTCAGGAGGGTCTTTCACAGAAACAGAGGATTATGTCAGTCCTTCTTGATCTTGGAACATGTAAATCCATTTTACACTGCTCTCCTTTTTGGAGGCTCTGAACAAGTCTATCAAAACCTTGCAGTTATGTATTAAGGCAATAATTACAATCCAACACACGTGTCTAAATGGGTTTAAAGCAATATGGACCACTGTGCTAAAAGGACAGCAATCAATGATTCCCTCTGTCCTGTCCTTCCATCTCTTCTCCCAAGTCCCTCTCCAGCTCTCCTGGAGCTTCTTTGGGCAGTGGAATGCTCTGGCTGGCCATTCAAGAGAAGTCATTAATGCCCCAAACTGCACACAGCACAAGACTTAGGAACACCAGGTGAGGATGCTGGGCTTCTTTGATCTGGCACAGAGGAGACTAAAAGCCAATCTAAGCCCAGCCTGCAGCTCCAGCTCCAAAGGTGACAGAGCAGTGGTGGTGTGAGCTCTGCAGGAACCTCTTCTCAGGCAGCCCAGAGCATCTTGGCCACCGTGCTCAGTGCTCAGCCCAAGGATCAGACTAAGTCCAGGGAGGAAGGGAGATGCATTCCCTCTTTGCTGCATGGATTATGCCCAAGTGAACATCAGCTATGCTCCATCAGAGCAGTCTCAGCAATTAACACCCTCTTCTCACCCATCAGTTCCCTGTCACAGAGTTCATCCCGTAAGGAATCACAGCGTGCATTTAGTTTTCTGCTCAGAATTTGCACCATCTAATTTACTCATAATTAGCATAGATGATCTAATATTCCTTTCTGATCTTAATTCCCACCAAACCCATCAAATCCAATCTCCCTTTTTGTATACGGACTACAAAAGCTCGAGTCATTACAATTCCTATCCGGTTCCACGCTGGTGTAAACGAGAGAATGAGACCCTTAAATTTCCAAAGAGCTCGAAGGCAGCGTTGCATTAATGAACCTCCTGGAACAACCACGTGTCTGTGAAGAAGAATGTCAACTACTTGTATGGCAGCCTTTGAAGGTCTCTCCAAGGAGGAAACGAGCCATCAGCCTGGACAAATTCCCCAGCTGGGTTTTGATGGATCACAAGACAAACAGATCCCTACAAAGAGACGCTGAAATTGCTTTACAAGGCTTGGTACCCCTGACCTCAGCCCTGCTCTGTCCTGCTCCACTCACACAGCCTGAGAAAAGCCCTTCAGATGGGTACACGTGGATTTGGGCATGCAAAGTGGTTGTGACAAAATCCAAGCAGAAAGAGAGCACTTCAATATCTGGGTAGAAAAAGGGGGAAAGAGCAACATTGCTCATGTGAGTGATTTGATGTTTATCTTCCACATCAAACAAGCTGAGACAGTTTTACACATTATAATTCCTAAAACAGTCTGAAAGAGAGACTTTGCAGAAGGGATGGAGGGACAGGACACAGGGAACGGATTCCCACTGCCAGAGGGCAGGGATGGATGGGATATTGGGAAAGAACTGTTCCCTGTGAGGGTGGGCAGGCCCTGGCACAGAGCAGCTGTGGCTGTCCCTGGATCCCTGGAAATGTCCAAGACCAGGCTGGACACTGGGGCTGGGAGCAGCCTGGGACAGTGGGAGGGGTCCCTGCCCATGACAGGGGTGGGAATGGATGGGATTTAAGGTCCCTTCCAACCCAAACCATTCTGGATTCCATGAAAACACCTGTCAGATCAATCCTGCTGCTGACATCTCAGTCTGTTCTGGGAGAAGGCTGCTGCTTTTTCTCAGGAATTCATCAAGTGGAAAGTTGTTCTGTGAACACAAACACTTGTGCACCCCACACTGTATTAATCTGAATTCCAGTTTCCAAGGGAAGTTTGACATGAGTTCCTAGCACACATCACCACTGAAATGTATCATTCTTTGTTTCCTACGTAATAAAAAATTAAACAAAGACTCTCAAATTACTAATTAGATGCCATTGCTTAAATAAGTGCACAGAAGCAGTGGCCAAAATAAAGGAGTTCTAATTTTAATGAAAGGACAGCAGTGTACGACTGATATTTGACCAAGCAGGGAGTAGAAATTTCTTTTAGAAAAGCAAAAGCTCAATTAAAAAAACAAGTTTACAATCAAATGCTTTAAATCAGCAAGCTGGGATTCTTGACTTAAATACAATTGAAATCAGCAATAGATTTAAAAAATAGATTTAAAACCACTAGTAGATAAATGACATAACCATTTCTTCTCCTGGCAGACAAAGCTACAGGATCCCCTTTGCCAAGAAAATAGGAAATTTTAAGAGAAATTGAGATTTAAAATAAATTACACCTATTGCAGCCCTTCCTCATATAAAATACAATAATAATCCAAAATATTGTTTAAGGAGAACAATAAAAGGAAGGCAAAAAACTACCTTAAATAGGATGGTGAATGGTAAAATCCAGCTCTCCCACCCTTCCTCACCAGGAATGCAGTCGCATGCAGGCTGTGTCTATACACAGGAATATAACAGGAAAAATTAAACCGGGTGTAACAACAAACAGAATGGAAATGGAATCCATTCAGATCCTCCCACTATCGAATTCCTCGGATGATGACTGTTGGAATGGGCCTGAATTCAAAATACAAAACTCCAGAAGATAAAAGATGTTAGTTCACTGCCACTCTGCCTTTGCTAGGACTGTGTAAGGCACTCGAGGAGTTCAGAGCATGATAAAAATCAGCTTTTTCTTCAGCTCTCACCATTACTTTTGAGTGGCACCAATGCCAAACCCTAGAGCTACATGGGTTCTGTGCCATATAATTCATCCCTGCAAAACTTTTATCCAAGAAGCCTGAAAACAGCCTTGCAAGGGAAATATCAATAATTCCTTTCCAGGGATATTAAAAACAAAAATCCAGACAAATGACAGATCTTGCCCCAAGTCACACAAGAACTCTGCTCCTGTGTCATGCACAGTCCATGTCGAGTCCCTGCTTTTGTCTTTCCCTGGCCTTGATGGCATCTCTTGCCATCTCTTCCCCTTAAACCTAAAAAAATACCCTGGCACACTGCAAAAGAGTTAATTTCCAGGAGGAAAAAAACCATAACTTTGCCTTTGACAACTGTTTTTTAGACTGAAATATCCTCTTGAAAAAGAGAATTTTCCATGCTGGAAAGGTGTGAAAGCTCTCCAGCTATTCCTTGCCAAGTTTTAATCAGTATAATCCAGGACTAACTTCCCAAGCATGGAAAATAGGAAGGTTTTGGGTTTTCCCAAGCCCACAGGGAGTTCTGCTGCTGAGGGATAAATAACACAAGTCAGCTCCACTGCAGCGTTCCGTGGGCTCCAGCAGCTCCATTCATAATTCATGGTGTTGACACATCTACCTGCTGCTTGGCAAAGATGAGCACAGACAAACATGACATGGGGAAGAGCTTTTTCCTTCTCTCACTCTCATTTCTACTCTCCCAACAGGAAAAAAAAAAAAAGGAATAGGATGAAGAAGCAGAGCAGGGATTAATCCCAGAAGAATAAATTTATTGCTTCCACGGAAGCCCCTGGCTGTCCAGAAGAACATATGTACACTCACAGAAAGCAAGCCTTACATATTATTTGTAGACGTTAAACATGGTCATTTACCTTTGTAATTATCAGTTTGAAACTGCAGGGAAACAGATATCCCTGTGAAAGGTAAACAGCCAAGAAGCCAAGAGTGTTTAGATGAAACTAAATGTTGTTAAAACTGAATGTTGTCAAACATGGAAAACTTCTTAAGTCTGATAAGTGGGGAAAACTGACAATAGGAAACTGCCTAATTTATACAATGCCAAAATGGCCTGGGTGGAAAAGGACCTTAAAGATCACCCAGTTCCAAACCCAGCCATGGGCAGGGACACCTTCCACTGTCCCAGGTTACTCCAAGCCCCAGTGTCCAGCCTGGCCTTGGACATTTCCAGGGATCCAGGGACAGCCACAGCTGCTCTGGACACCCTGTGCCAGGTCTTTCCCATCCTTACAGGGAACAATTCCTTCCTGATATTCCATCCAGCCCTGCCCTCTGGCAGTGGGAATCCATTCCCCGTGTCCTGTCCCTCCAGGCCTTGTCCCCAGTCCCTCTCCAGCTCTCCTGGAGCCCCTTTAGGCTCTGGAAGGGCTCTGAGCTCTCCCTGGAGCCTTTTTCTCTCCAGGTGAGCACCCCCAGCTCTCCCAGCCTGGCTCCAGCCCTGGAACATCTCTGTGCCCTCCTCTGGACTCTCTCCAGCAGCTCCACATCCTCCTGCTGCTGGCCCCAGGGCTGGGGCAGCTCTGCAGGTGAGGTCTCACCTGAGCACAGGTGCAGAGGGACAGAATCCTCCCTTTCCTCAGCCCAGGGCATGGAGGTTTCCAAGTGCCAGTGCACAAAGCCAGGCCATGTCCAGCTTTTTCATCCCCTAAATCCTCGTCCCCAGGGCTGCTCTCCAGCCATTCCCTGCCCAGCCTGGGTTTGTGATTCAGGCTGAATGAATTCCAGGAGGGTTCCCTCTCCCCTGAGCACACACCATGGCCATTAGCACACGGTGACAAGCTGGGGTCATGCCGTGGAACACTCCAGCATGTGGAGTACCATGCATTTAGTTTGTATGCAATTAAGACCATTTCATT